TCACTGAACATCGAGTGCTTTCCTCCTTTTTCAAGTGCTTTTTGAAGCCTCCTTCCAACTTGGATGACAATATGCAGAGTGCCAATCAAGGCCAGCCAAAAAAGCAGACGGTGTCGTTCTGCATCACAGCAGGCCAAAGTCAAACAGCTCTTCACATTGCAGAAACTCTGCGCAACAAGGTGCTTGATCAATCAGCCCCAAACTTGACCAACCTCCCAATTCCACCAGCCATCTACTTCGCATCAATCGTTGTGGAGCCGCCCAGTTCGGCATCAATCGTTGACGGGACACCAAGCGAAAACGGTTCCACCCGGCGACGAAGGGCCATGGGGGAGGGGGGGAGTTCCGGGTCGAGGAAGGGAACGACGGTCGGTTCGATCCGCCTCCAGATCTTGCAATTGTTGGGCATTCGCTTGGAGGTTCTTTAAGACCTCGGGAAGGCCAAGGCCAAGAGCCGGGCTACGCGCGGGCTACTCCCACATGTCCAAAGCCTCAAGACCTCTTAAGTCTCTTCCAAGTGGACTTTGGGGAGGCTGTGCCGTCAAGCGACACAAACCTTTAAAATGACCTCTGGCATTCTTTCAAACAGCTTTTGATCAACCAAGAATGGTTCCCACCAAATATCGAACACCACCAATGATGTATTCACTATTGTACCATCAAATCCAATTGCTTCCATCAAGTGCCAGGGTGACAAGAGAAAGAGCTCAAAACACCTTGTCGTCGCAACTCGATGAAAGGAGTACCACTACCGCGCAATTCCCGGGCACTGTCCAAATGTCACGTTTCTAGCCAAGGAGCATGGTGAAACTGCTTGGAAGAAACAAAACAGAACACCCTTGCTACTTATTCATAGTTTGGAAGATTGTGTCTATTCTCTCTGCCACCACTATGGATATCTCTGCACTTCCCGTTGCTGGGGGTTTCTTAGGGGTCAAACAGCAAGGCCTCCTGGAGGGCACTATTCCGGAAACAAACAAACAGGGAGTTTGATGCAAGACGATGCAACCATGAACTATTAAATATTAAAATATTACGGGTTCAAGTCCAACATCTGCTTCCATGATACACTCTTACCGGGACAGGACGACCCACATCGGCCTCGCGGGAACGACGACGCGCCGCGTCTTCCACTCATCCCAAACCACCACTGGGGCTCCGGATCCGTTTCGCCCACGGGAGAGAAGATGTAGCAAAGCCTTGAGCGCAAATGTCCGTGGCAAGCTACTCTCCCTGGAACTCACATGGAAGCGGAGTTCACCCTCTGCTTGTGGAGGAAACTAGTCTTCCCAGTTTTCCACTTCCATGTGAGAGAACTCAGCGAGTGTGGCGAGTTCCACCGGCTAAGAAGGACGAACTACCGGGGGTCGTTGGACATCCACTCGATTCACCGGGGCATTTCGCGGCTGTGCACCCGAATCTTTGCGGTTTGGAAGAAGGATGCCAAAACTGTGGCGGTGTTGAGCTGTTTCCCTAGTGATCCAAGTACCTTCTCAGAGGGTAGTTGGAGAGAGTGTTATGTATAGGTGCCAGGAGGGTCCAGTCGTACAACGGTGCTTGGATCCCTATATAGGGTTAGTGGTTCCCCCCCGCTTGACGGTCCCTTTCCCTTAGAGTCCACCAGGATTGCATCGTCACCTGACACCAGACACTGCCACTGTGGAGGAGGTGTGTTCTTGGAGGCAGGATCCGGCGGAGCAAATGAGTGGTTGGGGGTCAGTGCGGAACTCATTCTCCGGGGCAGTAGGATGCCAAATCACAGATGTGGATGACGCCAAAGATGAAATATTATATTTGGGGTTCACACCCTGGTCACCAAGGCGTCGCTTTGACCCACATTTCACCAAGACCATTGTTTTGCATTTGCCAGAATTCGGAAAACGTGACCGCCCGCACATATTGCCAAAGTCACGCTATGACCGCATGAATGCGCAGGCAAATTCCACGGCAGAAAGGCCTCGGCAGGGAAAGGACGGTTGACACCTGTCTCCAAGTTGCACCAAGGTATCTGTGGAAACACTTGTTCCACTTCCACAGATTCTAGAAGACATTTTTGGAGTTTGCATATAGCTTATAGCATGAACAAAACTTATGGGTTGGTTCCTTTTAAGGCTTAAATAATGAAGAATGAAAGCGTCCCAAGGTTGCTGGATTCGCAAACTAAACCACTATCCTCCACCACTATCCCCGCCTCATCAAACGCCACCTGTTGCACCTGTCTCAAGTTCAAGTTGATCCAAAACCCACTAACCATCGGCTCCACAACCCCACCCTCACCCCATGCTGCGGGTCGGCTTCATCAGCCACTGCGTCACGGCCGCGCGTTCCGACAGCCGCTGGTCCGCCTGGCAAATGCAGCCTCAGCTGGTCCGAGGGTTTCGATGGGCGACTCCTTGTCACGGGGGTTGGAGGGGCCGCTTTTAAATTTTATGGAGTAAACGAGCGGTTGGGACGGTTTGGATCCAAAACGGTGGATTGGAATAGAATATGGGTGTTGGAACTGGTGTTGGATGAGCTATTTCGATGGTTTTGAGCCATATATATATAAAAGAAACAAGCCTTCTTGAGCTAAATGCAAATGCTCCCCCCTTTGCAATCTTATACAGTGACCTTGGAACGCTAGAACATTTAATGGCTGCAGCTGGTTCAAGATTCCACCTAGCACGCCACGTGGCAACTGAGTTGCTGTAAACATTTATGACACCCCCCAGGAGTGTATCTGGTATGCAAAATTGTTTTGAACACATAATACCCTTTTATCATCCTCTATAAAATGAAGGAGACAAAGTGACCTGAGAGGAAAGGGCAGTGGTTGCTTTAAATTGAATTTAAGTTATTGAAACGGGGCTTCAGGTCAACAGTCAACGTCGACAGTTGTTATGTTTCAAAGTTTGTCTGGCATTGCACTTCAATAATTACGCATTGGATATCATTGCCATTGCTGCCTCTATCATCTCTATCTGCAGCAGCTCCGCTCCGCTCCTTTCAGAACGAACCACGAACCGCCACCCGTCATCGGCGCCATGCCACTCTGCAGTGTCTCTGCATCCTTGGGATTGCCTTTGGTCTTCGCCATGGAGGCCTCGGTCTGTAAAACCCGCAGCGCGGGTGAACCGCGTGCTTTCTCGCGCAAGCAGAAGACACAAAGGCTTGCGCTTGAGATCGGTGAGGCCGGTTGGATTTAAAGCTCAAAACGCATGGGACATGATTTTGAAAGAATGGTCAAGTCCTCATTCGCTTTCCTATATGTCTTTGCATGTTCCGACCTCTATATGTCTTGAAGCCCATGTTCGTTCCAAATCGATCTTGGCCCAACAAGCGCGCAGAAAGCCGGAACGAAGCCGGCTCAGCAACAGCCCGGACCTTCATGATGTCGTGGATGCGTTCCTGGCAACGAATGTTGGGCATTTGCGAAGTACGTGGACTCTGTGCCTCGAGTTTCATTGGAGGCTTTTAAGCTTCAAGTGGACCAATAAAAAAAAGAAAACAAACCTATAGTGGCCTATTGAAATTACTATTTACTCTCTATTATATTATATATAGTATTATATATATAAGATATTACAACTAAAGTGACCATTGGCTCTGCATCAAGCTCTCGAAACATCCCACATGAAACATGTTGCCGTCCATCAAACTCCCAGGGTCTTTTGGGACCGCCTTTTAAGCCGTCATGAAAGGGCAAGCTATCGCCAGCCACGCACGTGCCATGCACGTCCAGCCGACGGCTTCGATACGACAGTTTTTGCCCAGCTCTATTCCACGAAAAATCCTCTTCCATCCACGGTACCTAGTGATGTCACATCAGTGATGGATTCGCTTCATTCAACACTTCCGCGTGCAGAAGAAGGAGGGGCTTGCAGTGATGGATTCGTTTCCTCATTGTGACATGGGCCATGTTCCCTTCGTCCAACAGAACCCGGATACAGTGCCCCTAGTTTCATCCCCAAGTCAAAACGTAGATAAATATTGGATGATATCGACAGTTGTCATCACTCATAGAGCTTCAGCCGGTGGTTACTGTATTCGAAGGCACAAATCTGCTTTTAAAGTGGCATGTGCAATGAATGTGGAATCTCAACTTTATCAAGGTGATACAGGAATGTGTCAGTGTCCTTTGATGTGATCATGGTATTGAGACTGGCTCCTTCTGAAAGATCGGAAGAACAGCCCTTTCTTCTACCTCGATTGCATCCGATTGCGCCATGCTGTTGAGGGTGCGCAACCACACCTGGAGTGACACACCCAAAAACGAAACATGCGCTGTCAGTGCTTTCAGCTTCTGGCGGACCAGAGATCCGGAGATCCGTTGACTTCTGGCCGACTCGTGCTTCACGGGTTTTTCGTGGACTGTTCTATCCACTTCGGATGTATACAAGGATTTAGGATGCTCAAACTGGGTATACAAACCACATCAAAAAAACACATCCTGGTATTCTATTCACTTTGATATGTTTTGTTTCGACTGTTCTATTAAAAACCACATCCCGGTCCCTCCAACGGTCCGTCGGCGAAACCGTCGATGTGCTCCTCACTGACCTGCTGCTCCAGGAACTCTGCATCAGCATCCACGTCCAAGACACGCATCTGTTGCGCCACCTGGGACCAATGTATCTACTGTGACTGAAGAAAGACACCGTACAGCCGCACAGTGGTGGGATCGGTGAAGACCTGGACCCTGAGGTCGTGGTCGTGACGAGTGAGTTGAAGCGTTCATTGATATACAGTAACTAGCGACATGATCAACTGTCTATGCATCAGCTACCTCTCCGCCCTGGAAACTTCTGACAAGGATTACACTTATCACTTATCCCTCTCCACTTGTGGGCCAGCGGAGCCAAATCTTGTCGTGTTAACCCATGTTAACCCACTTGAATGTTCTCTGTCAACTCTGTCAAAGGATCTTTGGCGTCTAGACCTTGAATCATCTTGAATCCATCCATCTCAGACCTTCGATCTATGGATCATCCACCAATGCGAGCTGAGCTTTTCTGGTCTAGTTATATTATATCTTCAAGCAAAAAACGAACTGGGTTGACCTGGATAATGTAAATACATCTGAACCACTGATTTAAAAACAATACACCACCATGTGTGAGGAGGTTTAGGACGGATTGATGGTTTATTCCAATTGTGATCAGTACACTCTCAAACACACAATGTGGTCCTGCCTCACTGCCTTCCATGAAGGACTGAAGCGTGTTGCCTCCATTCCAATATTCTGGGATGTCCCAACCCCCAAATCCATTGACCAGTTGTTGCTGCCTGAAGTCATAGCAAAAACTACAGGAATCCATCCCTAGACATTCCAGTCGTACCTTCTCAGGTACAGTGAGCAAGGAGACACTGTTGTGTAGGTGCCAGGAGGGTCCAGTCGTACCGCACCCGAGGTTTGGTACGACTGGAATGTCTAGGGCATGCTTCCGGTGCATGTTTCCTGCTTCGTGCCTTTGCCGAGCAACGATGGATGTGGAGGACATACGTCGGAAGCGGTTGTTCTCGCGATGTGCCAGTTCCCGTTGCACCCCTTCGCGGCCTGAGGGTGGACATCACATCACAGCCCTGGCCCTAAGGGCAGGGTGATGGGGTGATTGGACATGACATCGGTTCAATTCCGAGGGTCAAACACCCAGCAACAAAAGCCCACAGTACCAGCGGCCCTCAAAGCTCCGAACAATAAAGGTGTTTACATGGTTTTACATACAAAAACCATCAAGAAACACAAAAACAACCATGCAGTTTTGCTAGGGAAAACTCGGTTTTTGGGTTCGGCGCGGCTTTAACGCCCCGGGCGGATCTTCTTGCAGTTTTCTGTCACAACCTGATTTTGTCCCCAATGCAGGATTTAGATGGATTTAGATGCAGCATGATGCAGCGAGGAACATGGAACACAAATGGACGGTAGTAACGAAAGCGAGAAACGTAGGGCGTGGCTGCACAACGAAAACCAAGCTCGTGGCAAGTGCGATCGATCACACAGCAAATTAGAATGTAAATTCCGATTTCGATCGAAGTTGGACATGTGGTGGTGTCATCAAGACAAAAGATACAAAAAGGAAAAAAACAACTTCCGAGTTTTCTTGGTGCTGGTGTTCTGAAACTCGCATGCAACCTTGATGCCGAAGAAATACCCGGCACAGAAGAGAAGCCCATGCTTTCAACGTGCTGAAGAAGCAGCATAATGGCGTTAAATGCAAATCAATGACTCTTTAGTACAATGAAAATGCCATCATCCCGTCCTAGAGAAAGAGAGAGATTAATATTAGGTGTACTAGGGTTGGGAATCACTAGGCGTTCACTGTGGTCACATGGCACGGCCAATCCCTTCACACGCCAATCGATTCTGGCCTGCTACCTGTGCCCACAGACGATTCAGCCGGGCAAAGTTCTTCTCCTGTCGGTTTGACTCAATTCTTCTCGCTTCAGGTCAACTCTTGCTTTCAACCCAGCCAGCACACTTGCCTCGTTCAGCCAGCACGGCCATGGATCTCAATTGCACGTCAACCAACTACAGTGATACAGTAAGTAGCCCGAACCTTAGAGATTTGTAGTAAATAACCGCATCTCTCGCCTAAAGACCCAACACACCTGTCAGTGATGCAAAGAACAGCTCCCGACTGGGCGGTGCTCTTTTTGAGGACGGTGGGGGACAACCAGGACAACAAAATTCTCTTCGCATGTCCACTAAGTGTTGAGGTCAAGTCTGGTAGACTCGGTGGACATGGACCCCCCCTCTGCCAGGAAAATGGCCATTTGTACCAAAGCCAGCGGTGACTACACTTCGCTTGACCACGCCGTCTAAGCAAAGTCTAGAATAGTATCCTCTTGTAGCCCAGATCAATACGCGGATCGCAGCAACAGCCCAGGAATGACTGTGACCTACGTGCTTTACGTCTTTCATGTGTTAAAAACGTCTTCCATCTCTCAAAACTGTCTTCCATCCTCTTCACAAGGATGCTGAGCTTTGAATGAAGCCACTGCCTGCCTTGAAGTGGACCAAGGCAAGGTGATATGCCTGGGTGTGCATCTTGAAGGGGTTCTGTTGCTGCGGGACCAGTTAGAGAGACTTTGCTGAAGATTTTGGATCTATGATGATCTATGAGCATAAAGGCTATGCCAAGCCACTTCAAGCAAATTCTCACGCCAAATGATGAAGGGAAAGGTCGCCTTGGTCGCAGCCTTCGCCATCTGCCAGTACTGGGGCTCCTGACAGTGATCAAAGTGATCAAATGATTCCAATGTCCAGTTTGGATGCGTCGTGATGTGTGATGCGTCCAAGAGAGAGAGAGAGAGAGTGAGAGAAACTCTTCTTCTTTCCCTGAGCTCAAAGGCGTCAAGCTGCACTTGGCGACAGTTGGATCACCAAAGAGAGTCTTAGGTTTGGGGTGTACTCTATGTTGGAACCGCCATGGTCTAAGTTTGGAGGAGTTGGGGCATTCAAACATTGTGAAGCGGTCTTTAGATGTCTTTAGAAAAGAGGTGTCTGGATGAATATGGTCCTCTGCAAAAAAAAAGCTTCTGGTTGCAGTGTATATTTCAGCCAAAGGCCTTTCATATCCTTCTCCTCCATTTTTTGGGGCGTCGAACCTCCTTTTGGCTGGATGAAGCTGGGTCCTCTATCTCTTCTGAGAAGTCGTAGGATAGAGAGTTCCCCTGTCGACATTCCAGTCGTACCAAACCTCAGGTTCGGTACAACTGGATCCTGACAATGGCACCTATACATAACAGTGTGTCCTTCCTCACCTTCCGCAGAGGGTACAATTGGGTTGGGTCTCCTATGACCCTGAAACCGCCCCAGGCCGAGATCGAGACGTCCGACGAATTGCTTGGGTCGAGGATCTGGTAGATCAAGAGCATGGTCGATCGCACAATAGAATGCTTCCAGCAACCTCAGGATTTGAAAGTCATGCTGTGGATTCTTTTTTGAACATGATGGTGGATGCCCATGACTTTTCCATCAAATGGCTTGTCGAGTCGAAGTCCAAAAACTGTCGTCAGCAATCTCAGCTGTCCCACCACTCCCGTGCTATGAGGATGTATCGCCCACTAAGCACAGGACGTGACAAAAAAAGTGGAATGATGTGGACTGCAAGGGGTTCATAGTCAGTCCAAGCGAGGTACCATTCATGTCGCGACTGAAGACGAGACACATGTGCGGCGAGTCCGCATTTTGTTGGCGGAAGTAGATGCCAGGCATTTTCCCCAAGCCCCCAATCGCACATCCAACGGAAGGGACACCCAATAAGCCAAACTCCACATCCACGTAGCCTGACGGATGAGAACATGACATGGCTGGCTTCGACGGCATGCGCTACCATCCTAACTTGACAGAGTCGTCAGCCTTGGTGGTTTGATGTAAACGAAGATGGATAAAGGACGATGCAACACAAACGGGTCTGCGCGAAACATGTCTAGTTCTAGTACCAAATGCTCAGCTGGGGAAGGAACATCAACATCACGATTCTAACGCCCAAAAGTGAGGTTGGGATTCAGTCGTGAACATGGAGAGCAAGCAGGGTTTATGAAATGTGGTTGAGTTATTTTAAAATCACATTGGCTTCGCAGCACCCTGAGGAAGTTCTTTTTTCTTGCGGCACACCCCATGCGAAGCAGCCAATTCCGATCTGCTGAAGGACCGATTCTCCCACAATCCTGGACTCACGGAGATCTGTTGCGTCCAACTGCGTTCCAAAACAAAGAAAGAAACTGAAACAACTAGGAGTCACAAAGGAGTGCCGAACTTGGAGGATAGGTGTGCCCACTTTACCTTCACTTACGGACTAACACCCACCCCTTTGTGACTCCTGGAACAACACATTCTCTGGAGTCCCAACGAACAGAGCGTTCTTGACGTTTCCTTTCTAACAGTCGCCCGAGGGCCAAACTCTCTGGCTGATGCCCGCCGCTGTTTCAAGCATCCCCTGAGATAAGTCCTACACCTCTCATCTTGAAAATATGTGCAGAGCGTTCTATATGGGAGAAGTGATAAGTCTGATCATGTATTGTGTAGATATATGTTGATATATTTAGTGATTGTTGAAAACACTTATAAGAATCAAACTGCACGACTAATTGGCGTCATGGTGATGGTTTATCAAGGTCTTGACAGAAAATGTGATAATTATGAGGGTAATGATCGACTGAAATGAGAACCCAATTCAGCTGATAACAAGATCCCTCCAAGTAACTAACTACCCTGACACAGCTGTCCCACCCGATTCACACCCCGGTCACACGCGCGGGAACCCGGGCACCGAAAGGTTCAGAGCAGGAGGGCGTCAAGCAGAGGTGCGCGCCACGCCGAAGCTCGTTGGGCAAACGGAAGAACTCCGTGCACACGAAGAGGCGCCCTGAAAATGGGGCAGCGTTCCAAATGAAACCACAACCATCCCAATACGCGTTCCAACCAAAAGCCGCAGCAGGTTTGTTGGGTTTTTGCAACTAAAGCAAAATATAGCAAAATGATCCACCCAACAGATTCATCCCCAAATCCACCCATAGGACCCAAATAGAAAAAGCGAACGGAACGGGATCGTTCGAACGGAACGGCCTTTGAAGAGCGGCTTGAGCGGTGCCAAGAGCTCTTGCGCATAGAGCCCAAAGGCGTCGTCCGGGGGTCCTCGTCAAACGGCGCACACGACCGGGACCTGTGGTGAAGAGAATTCACTTGATGAAAATACACAAAGTGTGAAGAGTGAAGAGGTTGAGGTGGTGGTGGTTGTTGTTCTTTTTCTTCAATCTGTTGTTTAAATAAATCAATAAAAACACCCATATCAAGAGCTTTACAATCTAAATGCGTGTACATTCTCCAACCTTCGGGGTCTCCCCGCTGCCACCCCCCCACTGCATCAGGGGATCCGTGGATCAGATCTGGTCAGACGGTCTGCGGAGTCACATGTCTTCATGATACGCTTGAGTTGGAGCATGGCCAAAGAGTCGACATCTTCCCTTAGATGTTTGATTCCGATTGGGAAAACCATGGTCACAGGGGCGCTGAAGCCGCTGAAGCCGGCGACCGGTTGCGCGGAGCGTGAGTGAAGTGCGCCTGCCAGAACGATCTGGACCTCTCGTCGGCTCTTCAAGATGTCCTGGAGCGGCCGTCGTCCAGACCCAGCGGCGGTCCAGGTGGTCCAGGTCCCCGGTTAAAGCCGGTTGATCAAATGACACTTCAGATGAATCCCAGAAGTCAGATGAAACTTCAGCAGTCATCCGCGAAGGATCTGAAGTTTCAGCTGAGGAAGGCAGGTGGAAAACCAGGTTTAACCACCTGCTGTAGCCCTAGTCAATGAAATAAGACACCTGATGCGGCCGGAAAAAACACATACCTATAGCCTATGCTGGCATCCACTTACAATCAAAAATTGATACTTCTTGGGCTTCTGTGAGTCGGTGATACCTCTTGGGCTTCTGTGATTCATTAAGTTGTCATGTAAGTACCATCCCGCAAGCCAGACCTGTGAGTGATCAGTGATACCATAGCAGCTGCAGCATCCAGCGAAAAAAAAGCACCGAAGCTGAAAGGGCGAACTGTGGCCCCAGAAAACATATTTGATGCAGGCCACATAATTGTTGGACTTTTGTTTGAGCTGTAGCAGCAGGACAAAATTGAATCACCCAACAGATGCCCAGTTTCTTCAAATGCCTCTTGGATGCTCACAAGTGAGTACTCCTGCATCTACTCCTGAGTCTATGTGCTCCCAACCCTTGCGAGGTTGACAGGTATGACAACTGTCCTTGGTGAGCATGGCGATGTGGTCCACGCCCTTCTGCTTCACCCATCTTCCGATGAAGATCAGAATTTTGGCTCCCGGGTCCTGGCGGCATCGAAGCAAACCCACACATGCGAAGAGGGACCCTCCAGTCAGTGCGAGGGGAGGGATGGGTCCTGCAACAATCTGTTTCTGGATCGGCAATCCAGCTATGTCCAGCTCAAGTCCCCTGTGATAGGGCATGTCAGCACATCCAAATTCAAGGAGATCAACAAACAGTATCTGAAAGTCGAAGGACTCGCCACTACATCAAAGAAAAGATACACTTAAGTGATCTTAAGTGGAGGTTGGTTGTCTGTCTCAGCGACAATCCTTAGGCGATTGCAAACACGCCAATCTCTCGGAATGCAAAGCAATCTGTCCCCTTATATCCGACAAATATCCACCAGCTCTCTGCTCTCCAAACAAACTTTCATCAAATAAGAAAGGTCCTTTTTGGCAGTTTGTTGTCTACTCAGTCTACTCAATGTTGCAAACAAGCAAGCACAAGTTCTCTTCATGCCAATGCTATCTCTTATATATATAATATGATGCTCCTTCACTCTTTCACCAACCTTGGATGTTGCTCTCCTTCAAAGTTGCTAGTTGCTAGCCCTGGTTTCTAAAGCAAAACACAAACGCCACTGTCTCTGCGTGGAACCGCCTGGTCCAAGTCGCAGTGCTTCTGCAGCGCTGCCTTCGCCTCAAAGCGCATCTTCCGGAGCTTCTCGATGCCTCGCTGCGCTGCCGATGGAGGTGGAGCGCCAATGGGGTAGAAAGGAAGCGATGCACTTGTTCCTAGTAGCTTCTTGTTCCTAATAGCTTCTTGTTACTACTAGTAAGGCACTTGTTCCTAGTAGCGATGCACTTGGGGTGGGCGGAAAACATCCAGATTGTTTGGATGATTTGAACGTTTCCCGCCAGCACTCGTAGGCCTGCAGCACCCTGATCTTCGGCGGGGTCGGTCGCATTGTCCAAGGGTAAGATGTTGGGCAGGCCACGGAAGAGCATCCGTTCACCTTGGTGAATGAGTCAGGTCCGAACTGCTGGGCAGAACTGCTTTCACACAGCAAATGACTTTCTCTTTTCCACCTAAGACAATGTCCTACCTATTGATATACCATGGTATCCTCTCGAAAGAAAAAGGGGACCGGGACCGGGACCGAATGTGGTCTGGATGTTCGGGTCTCGTGCGTCTCGACGCGCGGTTAGGGCAATTTGAGGGACCAAACGCTGCAATTGGTAGCATGAAGAGCATGCCATGCCACGACCATCCAATAGACTACCCCACAGTACTTGTGGGCTTCCATTGGACACGTACAGTGCATCGAGTGAACAGTCTCCGTGCGAGCAAACCTCGCAGATGGGTGCGCAGTCAAAGGATGTCAAAGGTGCTCCATATATGAGCTGCCGTAGATCTTCTTTTGAAAACGAGGACCCACAAATCTGACACTTCCAGACGACGTTCTTCAATATGAAAAGGCCAGACTGAAGGTTCACAGATACGTTATATAATGTTATATACTCTCCCTGGAACTAACATGGAAGTGGACAACCACCTGTTTGTAGTGGAAAATTGTCTTCCAAGGGGCCATTCTCCACTTCCATGTTAGTTGCAGGGAGTGTATACACAAAAATGATCAAAAAAGGCCTTACAGAACCAACGGTTTGTTTTCTCCACTCCGCACGTCCGGACCGTCCCAGCAACGTTTGAGATCCAGTGCGTAGTTGGTGGAGACGGCACAAACTCCATGACCGGCCTGCATCTCCTTGATATAAGCGACACCAGCCTGGCGCTGTGTGGGTCGAATGTGGGTCGAAAGCCTTAGAAAAGACACCAAGGGAAGTAGACCAAATCTGCGGTGTCCATTTTGGCTAGTGAACAAAGCGCTTTTGGATCAAGCTTGAACCTCACAGGTTTTGGATCCCAAAACGGTTCAACAAGAGTCCCCATGGCCATGAGCATCGGATTTTGGGTTCACCCTCCAGCACCAACATGTGGCAATATTTCGGGGTACAGTGAACATAGCATTGGTTGGAGAGTCAGTTCATTCAACCTGCACAGTCGTAGATGGCATTCAGCTGGTTGTTCATTGTCTTGGATCATCCAACCTTAATTCTGAATTGGTTGCCTGGCGGCCACAAATGAGATACTATCTTCGGCAGCGGCAGTCGCAAATTGAAAAAATTGATCATCCAACGATTGGTCAAACTCGGAGGAAACACAAAAAGACTGGGTCACTTAAGGTGACTTATTAGTTTTAGCTCCTACTGCGGCAAAGCTATCAACTGTAAGGTGACTTCGTGTACTATCACTGCTGGGTTGCAAGGAGAGTAGAAGATGCCAGTGGTGGCATGTGCAGCAAATGTATACACAGTACAGCAAAGCCAAGTGCCTTCAACATGTTGAAGCGCCCCTCGAACATCACGTACTTCCGAATGGCCGGGATTTTGAGATTGAACACCAAGCCTCGCATGAATCGCCCTGTGATTTGATGCTGCTTGACACAGGCAAAATGCAATGTATGCATGCATCTGTGGTTGATTGTCAAAAAAACATGCGTGAATATGGCTGAACGTTCTCCTGGAGAAAAATCACCCGCCTTGACCAACTGCATGCAACAAAGATTTATGCAATGTCATAATATTCAAACAGCAAAGGTGATGTTGAACGTGCTTGTCTGCTTGCATAGCACTACTGACATCACCAGCCAACTCCAAGTCACTGAGGCGTCGCATTGGAGGTGTTGTCTTCCAGAAGCGATCATTGATGAAGTCAGTTTCGATCACACCTGGCGTGTTTCATTTTGTTCTGTGAGTCATGATCTTCATCTGCAAAGTTTGGAGACTGGAGGTTCAGCTTAGAGTTTCCTCTCTCTCTCTCTCTCGTATAACATGGGTCAGTGGAGTCTGCAAGTTGCTACATGCATATGCGACTGGAATGCTGAACACCCAAGAAATTCCTTGATGCGGAGCAGGATTTGGACAACCGTTTGTCACGCTGCTGCTTGGCGAACCCATGTAGTCTGCATTGTGCAAAACCAAGATCATTGGGATCGGCTTCTCCTGGCCATGCGTGAACCGAATATCATTTCGAGGGAGGGGTGTCCATCATTGTCCTCCCGCGTCCGGTCGATGAATGGATGGCAAACAAGTATCAAACATGCATCCGGTCATAGGACTGCAATGGACTATAGATTCTGTGCAAATTCCACACGTCTCCATTGGCCTCTCTGGCCTTCGTTCGCCACATGGCAAGTGAACGGTTCAGTGAGCTCAAGATCCACTTCAGGCGCACAGTTCGGTGAAGTTCCCACTTCAAGGTTTGGGTCGGCAACCGTTCAAAGGAATCTTTGCGCACGCTGCACTTCCAAGTCCCGTCATTTTTCTCAAAGACACTCCGCACCCATTTCTTTCAACAGGGGACTGAGGCCCACCTGGTTCCACACGTTTCCATCCCCAACCCACCTGCAAGTAGAGGGGTGCCAAAGCTGCATGGTAATCCATGCAGTGGTAGATGTCAGGCTCCAACATCCTGAAGCATACCGCGTACACACAAACACACATCGGACAAAGGAGATTCTAGATGCCAGGATCTTCACATCTCTGGAGCAAAGTACCATGAAACATCAAGCAACGGTGAATGCACGAAAACGCAAGGAGGGGTAGCAGTTACGATGAAGACCCAAGAAAAAGAAAACATGTGTTTTTCAACAAAACCAAGTTCATAGCATTTGCTGGTGTTTAGAGCTTGCCTCAGTGTATCCTTGACGGATTTCCATCCCTTCTTCCCTTCTTCCCTCTGGCGTGGCCCAAGAACAAAAGGCGGTCCTCATCAAAGCGGCGACCGCTTGGTTCCTGGCGGCCACTCTTTGCTCGGAGAAACGAGCCAGGAACTTGCTAAGACCGGTCTTCGCTCGCGTCCAAATCGATCTTGCTGTGACCAGCTAGTGAGTCAGATCTTTCAGCTCTGCTCGAACCAAGTTTGTTCCAATTGGTTGCTGTACCAAGGTCTGGGATGGAACAAGGTATACCTAAGTAAGTGGGAAACCCACCTATATGTTTCTCTTGGCTCAAAGAACTAGGACACCACATACCTAGCACAACGTCCTTCTTCGCAGAACTCCTTCACAGGCTTCGTGACGCTTGGCCAGGGGGGGTTGCGCATCGGACCGGATCGTCCCAACCCCCAAATCTGCCCAGGCTCCAGAGGGAGAAATAGCGCAAGACACGGATCTTCGTCATGGGACACCTCAGGACACGGATCTTCGTCGTCGCGAGGATGAGATCTTGCAATCCCACTCAAGTCTATGTATCAAGAACGCTCCGGGATTTGGTGAAGAGTACAAGTGAGGCTCGGAGGTACACTTGCAACCTAGGCTGAAAAAACGTTTCAATATGTTTCAATTAGGGTTGCTTCATGTGCGCAGTTGATATTTTTGACCTGTAGGGCCACTGTAGGGTGTGGCTCCCCAATGCACGCACTCTTCAGTCTCATACAGCACTGCACGTCTTCTGGGCAACCAATCGAACCCAGCTGCACAACATCTGCAGAACGACAGGCGAACGAAAAAAAACGGTCTGCTGGCGAGCTGTTTTCGGAGCACTTGGAACATGATGCTTCAAGGGCCCTTCACAACAAGGGCGCTTTCAGCCCACCGGTCAGAAGTTGCAATGTGTTGGAAGGAGATACAAGAAGATGGTTTTGTCCCAAGGAATGAGCCTTTCAGCGTTCGATCATTTTGGAGGAACACATCAAAATCGATGCCACACAGTTGATCAACTTTCAGCGACCAAATCCCTCGATCGTAGCGGTGCATCGTTAAGTGCCTTCAGGTCCCACCAGCACGACCGTCGGATCCTGGTTTTCCGACCGTCTCGCTTCGGATCCGCAAGCGATCGGCGGCGATGTGATGCCGGGGTCAACGGCGGAGGGCCCCACAAGCCACATTGCAGCGCTTTGAGCATCTTGCGTTTTACAGGTCTTTAGTTTTGGGCTACTCGGATGATTGTCTTGATGAGTTTGGCTGCGTTGACTTCTTTATCTTGCGCTTAGTCCTCAGGCCACTGCATCCATGACAGGTCACACGCAATCTACATTTGCCATGTGGTTCGGACTACTAAAAAAAACAACAACACACACTAATGATGGACCATGAATGCCAATGATCATGAATACCGAAGACATTGTTGTGAAGCCGATGAGAATGCTGTGAAATTGATGGCACTGTTCTGCAAAACAGGTGATAAAACGATGATGATGTATTGCGCTTCGACGTTGTACTTACAGTAGCATTTCAGCAAGTAAAACTGTCATCGACATATACTGTGCTGGGTCCATTCACGATCCATTTACGATCCATTCGTGTCCGGGCGACGGATAAGGAGAGGTCTTGGCTCGTTCTGTGAAGAGCTCGTGCTCGAGCAAATACCTGGAGAAAGGTCTTGGTTCGCCAAGAAGGGCCGTCGATCGCGAGTATCCTTGCAGTGTCGGAGAGCGAACACCGACAGCTGTATGAGTCCGAAGCTCCCTATTTGTTGTTGTCTTTTTTTCAGATATACTGGCACAAACATGAAAGCTGCTCAAATGGTTTGAGGATGCTTCAGGTTTAGGTTGGGCATGTACAATGTACAAGGCGCCCTCTCTGGTGTTGGGAGAAACTCCGCAAGCATGATGACCCTTCTATATTCGATGCAGTTAATCCATGTTCATCCGCTGCTGTCGCTATGGATCTGACATAAGACTGCCCAAGAAGATTCCGAGTAGAAGACCTGGGGGGGACCAAGTTGTGGGCCCTGAAACGTGGGTCCGTCTGATGTTCTCACATCGAACTTTGGGATTCTCAAACGATCACACATATCAAATCATTTATCGGATGGTCCGCCGGACAAAATCGTAGCTTTAAGATCTTAATATCTTAAAGCAGCTGGAATCTACTTATATCTGCATATTATCAACTATTGAACATCTATATATCATAGCTTCAAGATCTATATACAATGTGCTGGAATCTGCTTGTAAGTATGAGATCATACGATAGGCAAAGCCGGCAAAGGCCAACGAAACATCATGCCAGCGCAAACGCGCGAAGTTTGCCAGGCCAACGAAGTCACCAGCCAAGCCAAGATTCTTTTGGATGTCGCGCTCTCAAAGCTGCAAGTTTCGCTTTGCCCTACAGGTCTGGATCTCCAAATGGTTTCACCCGGAAACAGCTTGTGCTCGGTCTCCACAGCCATCTACTACTACGAGTCCACCATGTTGGGGTCTCCACCGGAGCCAAAGACCTATGGCTGTCGTCCGGTAGCGGCCTCTGGCAAGCCTTACATGCAAATCCCAGACTTCAAAGACCAGTTCCTTTCATGAGATTTGCAAGGGAACTGGCCTTGTAACTGCCTTTTTATACAATTATACTTGCAGGAAAAATGTGGTCTTTCATGTCTACTTCTGCCTGTCTCGCGGAAATGCCAGTGGCGGAATCGCTCGAAACAGAATTGCTACCGGTCTCAACACCGCCAAACTGAGTATATAAGTCTCAACTTGGCCGGAAAATAATTACAAAGACACCCAAAATGAACGTGCAATGCGTAGAACGCAGCTCGGCATTATAAAGAGATTCCGAAACTGGTATCAATTTCAGAACGGTTGTAACAGTTGTCTTGCCATTGTTAGGTACAAACCTCTAGCTCACAGTAAAGAAGCTCTTCCATGTGAGGGCAAGTATATGTCGGGGAAAAAAACATATATACAATTTATAATCAGTGAAAAGTCACAGTCTTCATCTTACAAGAAGGGCGTTCTACCGCTGTCATACAGCAGTAGAACCACACCTTAGAGGTCAATATCTGAAAGAAACAAAAGAAATAAAGGTCGGAGGAGACAGCGCTGGCTGCGACGTTCATTTGGATCACTGTCACACCGCAGCTTCATGCGATGCGCAAAATGCATTCACGACCACTTCGTCAACTTGCCTCATCAGCAACGCATTGAAGGCATCCCACGTGCTAATGTTGTGTGCAATAGTGCTGTGTGGAATAGAGTTGATAGGGAGGAGAACCTTGACGTTTTTTCGCTCAAAGAAAAACATAAGAAAGGACGAGAAAGAACAGTTCTCCGGTGACTTGACTAGTCTGTGATTCGAAAGATCTAGGATGTCAGTCACAATTGGATGACCAAAAGACATCAACAGTTCCCATTTCAGCGTCGTCTTTGCCCTTTGTTTCGGTGGACTGATGGTGTTTTGGATCGCCAGTGAAACCGATCTCAGTACTACCTAGCTCTGCTATGTTCCTTCTCATCAGTAAGGAACTCGCGGATTGAGATCGATCCAGTGACAGAAAAGGTACATGGAGCGGCAAAGAAAGGATAACGATCTCCCTTTCCCCCGAAGGACCTGTAGGCCCGGCCCTTCACCCGCAAGAGATTCTTCCAACCACAGTTCGGAACTGGTTTGTTTGGGTCTAATACTTGCAGCGTTCCATTACTGGTCCCACCGATCTATTTGGGTTTATATACCCAGATTGGATCTATTGGGGCCCCCAAGCTCATCTCCCCGGCCCCACCTTTGGCGTTGCTTCGGTCGGAGACACTGGCTCCTCACCACGGGGGGCGCTTGGACCGGTGGCGACTGAACCGGTGGACCGGAAACTGCCACCGGGGCCTCGACTGGTCGACGCACACGACGGCACACGTGACTCTGGAGAGATGATGCATCGGGCATATTGATGAAGAGTACTGAGATGAGAGAAGCAAGGGGCGGTGCAACCAAGCGGGAGGACACTGAGATGAGTCCGGTGTTCTTTGTGACCATTCACTAACGAAAAGAACCAGGGGGTTCTGTGCGGGGTTCATTTAATAGTGCTTTTTGAATCTCTTTGACTCACCACTCATTGTAGGTCACTGTTGTTCTTCTGTGATCCAAGGGAATACCATCCATGGATACTGCAATTCGCAGTAGTGTATTCAAATGTATTGAACACAGTGCACCTTTCAAAGTCAGGATTTTCCATCAGGCCTTCTCTCGACCGATGGCTGAGTTGTGACAGTGTCCGGCCCGCCCAAGATCCGATCTGCCTCTCCAAACCAATGGTCTCCATGTGAGCCGAGCCCAACTCACACGCCCCCCCCCAGACCATCCGCTTCCTGCAGACTAGCGAAACACCGTCCGAGTCCCCCAGGGTCTCCTGGTGAGACATCATGGTCATAAATTCTTGGAAATCGATTTCCCCATCGCCATTGGCATCCAACTCTTCCATGATTCGCTCCACCTGAACCATGGATAACCCGACGCCGGGAGAGGCTCCTGTAGTGCAGAGATTGAAGAATCGAAACCAAGCAAGGCAGGTGATACAAAATGGCATGTTGCAACAACATGTTAAACATTGTTAAACGCATCCCCGTGTTGGCAGTCTGGATACTTAATAATAATTGGATTAGAAGCTGAATGCACAAAAAGAAACTGACAATCTGTCAGACATTGCGCGGGAGTGCCACAGCCATTCCCAATCCATACCATTCCCGCTTCGAAGCGAAAGAAAGAGGAAGGGCAGACCCGAATGAACATCTCACCAGATTCCCAGATTCGGGACCTAACTGCGGGCAAGTGATTAGGATCATCTGCTCGCACCAGTCAGGAACAATTAAAAACAAAGCCCGGCACTGGGCCCACCACTGCACATGAGCATCGTTCTGGCAAGTAAAACCGTGTTATGCCGTTTTCTATGGGCGACCGGAAAAAATCTTTCCAGTTGCAGCGACCTCCTCAGCTTCCAGCTTCCCCAAAAGGTAGCCTGAGTTCAGGTGCTGAAAGCACAAGGGAAATTTGGAGCGATTGCTTGGGAGTCTGCAGGTGTTCTCTTGTTCTGTTTCAAGATTCACATAGGAAAAAATTGTTTCATGAAAGCTGAAAAAGCCGTGTGTATCTGCTTCATCTACAAGGGGCTCTTCATATACATCTGCAATCTGCGGTACATATACATATATATATATACAGTGTACAGTGTATTATATACATAATTCTATGTACAATGTCACACACACAAGGTGTTGGCAAAAAAAAAACTGTAACAACGACAACGACAACGACAACAACACTTCTGGGTGCAGCTTCTGATGAATCCAAAAATCCAATGTCTTTCTTCATCCAACACAATCCACGAACATTCACGGCAAGGTATGGCAAAACGGGAAGAACACCCATTCACAAAAGGACACCACAGACCTAGACCTGAGGCTTAGATAATCGGATGTACGGAAGATAGACAACACGAATCGTTTGACAGGTTATCCCCAAACAAGACACAAAGCTTCGGTCATGTACTTTAGCACCATGGGTCATATACCAACGATCTCATGGACTCTAAACACAGAAATATGGGTGGATCTTGGTGAATCAGTTGGGGAGGCAGGTCAGGCACTATAAACACAGAAGATGGGATATGGGTAGATCTTCGTGAATCAGTCTTCTACATCATCCGATCTTTCGAACCCACCGCTGCCATCAACCAGCTAAGGTGCCATCCACCAGCTCGCTGGGTTCCAGCTGCCCCGAGCCATCCTCCACCGACGTGGAGCGTTCCGTTCGTTGGCGTTCCGTTCGTCTGCAAATGACCAGCGCCCAAAGGGTGAATGGTACTGGTATTGACCCCCCTGAAGAGGTATTTTCCATCCAACAACCACCTTTTGGGTGGTGCTTATATAGAGTTCTTGCAACTCCGTTGCTGGTCATCGCAACGAGTTGAAGCATCAAACCACCTTAAGCGAGAGCCTTAAGCGAGCCGGGTGACACCGCCTGCAAGGAACGGGTCTGAACCCAAAAGAGACGGCACCATAGGTGCAAAGAGCAAGGGCCCCGTCCCGTGGGTTCATGGGAGAGGTCAGGCCAAATACGTAAATGTTGGCCTAGGCTGGTCTATATCATCCGGAAATTGAAAGCATATGGACACATATTTAAGGCTGACCTTGCGTTCCTCATTCATTCCTTTTCCGAAACAAACGACACGACGCCATGCAAAAACCATCACGGTGGGCCTTGTCAAAGCAGCGGAAGGCTGCTCTGCAGACCTTGGTTGCCAGTTGGCCCAGCACTGATGGAAGGACACTGGGTGTTCTTCTTTAAGAACTTGAAAGCTGTCTTGAGAAGCAATCTCTGAAACTGTTCCATGCAGTCATTCAATGTAATTCAAAGGCCCAAGCTTGGAGACAGTGTCAAATTGTGTCAATCTCAGTAGGCAACATGTCCAGCTGTAGAGATGACTACTTAACAAGGTTTGATCTGCTACTAGTGCAGATCAAGGTTTCTTTGACTCCACCCGGTTCAGGTTTGATTCCTTCGGATGTTCTCCTGTTCTTCTCTCCAGCCTGTCAAACACCCGTCTGCTCAGCCCACTCGAACTGCTGGGGCCAACCGACATCGCCCTCTGCTTCAACTGTTTCCCCGGATGCAACGCCGACGACCCAACCCGACAGCGGCCGACGTTGGGGCCGGCAACGCGGTCGGCATAGGCGGACCGGCTGCTTTCCCAAAGAGGTAGACGATCGGGTCCACGGCCGAATCAAGACAAAAGCTGTAAACGTTTCAAACCCTGATCATGACCTCCGTTGACAGCTTGAGATGTACACACGCTCCATCCTGGATGATGATGATATGATGTTCAATGCAGCTAATTTCAACCTATACTATATCCACTCATACAGCATGTGTGGGATACGTACAGGATCAAGCATCTTTTGGTACAACATCCCGTCTGCTCAACAACACCAGCTTTTACAGCTCAACAAGGGCTATCCAAAAAAGAAACGAAACACAGCGCCCGCTCTTTCGGGGGGGGCGCCGGAGCACAGCGCATGTTCGGCCAAGCGGCGGCTTCAGTGGAGTGTTTGGAGCGATCAAAGGTCGCAGCCAGAAATTCGGTGTAGCTAAAGGCTGGGTACTGCCCGTCAGCCTGGATAGGCCATGGCAGGCAGAACTGCGGAGAATTGCTGTGGAACCTGGACATGACTTTGCAGAAACCCACAAAAATTGAGTTGTCACGTGCATGAACTGAGTAATATCTGTTAAATATAGTGTATAGTATATTAAATATAATATTACAGGTCTGTTTTTGGAAAAGAGGGGGCCCCCACCCATGTATGCCAGTATTTTGGCCAAGAAGTGACCCGATTGGTTTTTTAAGCACCTGTTTGTTAATGATATATTTAAAAAACAAACAAAACAATTCTTGCCAAACCCTCTTGCTCCAAAATGGAATTCCCCGGTGGCAGGCTCTCTTTGGAGTCCCCTTATCACGCCAGTTCTGTTGTTCGGGCATGTTTCTGCAGCGAAACACAATATCGAAAGTCTAGAGCCAGTAAAAGTCGCTTCACAGTGTCCTTGTTTTAAAGCACTTGCCCGTTCCGTGTCTTTTGCATTGTCTTTTTGAAGGTCGGAACAGCTCAGGTTGGGGAAGACAACCCCTTTTAGACCATCAAAAAAAGGGAAGTTATTTTGCATCAAATACCAGCCATTTGTTCAAGTAGTCTGAACTTACCGCAAGAATACCGTGACTGACTGATGTCATGCCGCTAAAGCTTTAAGGATTTTAAGGTAAATCCTTTGGTGAACGAGGGCATGTTCACTCACCTTACAACTCCAGATAAACCAATGCAAGCAAGGAATCCCATGTCAAGCTTTGGACATTGGGAATCTGCAAGGACGAGGATCAAACAGATGAGAGGGGTTCGTTGAAAGGCACCAAACTCGTCCTTTCCGCGCATTTGGTTCAGTCGATTTCAGAGAGTTGTCCTTCCTTAGATCACTGTTCACTTGGTTCTCCTTTGTTTTTTTGGTTGAGACTCCTCGCACTGTTTCCCAGCGAAACCTGTGGATCAATCAAGTACCAACATCACTCATGAACTGCATCATCTAGAGCCTCCAACGAACCGTATGAGATGTCCCAGCATGTCCGCCGCGTTTCTGAAATGCCCAAAATCAGATGATTTCTTCCAAGCATTCATGCGCTGATCAAGCCACCGGGGAAAAATATTCACAAAAACAAATGCCTGCCTGGAAGGACGCCTGCTTATGCAAGGACGGCTTGGCTGCCGGCTCTGTGTTCTTACCTTGGCACAGTCTGGACGCGAGAAGCCTGCCCCAAACGTGCTTTGCTTAGTCATCAGTGGTTCATAGGGCAGGCACCTCAACCTCACGAATCAAGTCATCAAGCGAATCAAGTGACATTCCTACGCGGAATCAAAAATAGTGGCCTTTAGATCTCTTGGTTTACATAGACAAGATCGAGCACTATGCTTTCCCAGTGTTGTTGGTTTCCGCGACTTCTGGCTTGGCTGATCACAAGATCTCATGTTTGCACAGGAGCACCCGTCTCACGGTAGCTGAATACATAAGCAGTGGTTGAAACGGCTCTTGCCAAACCCAACAGCTGTGCCCAAGGGGATTCCTCCTGCACCCAAGGGTTTATGCAGTGGCCTCTTGTTTCGTGACAATACAAGGATTTATTATGATTTATTTAATGTGTATATATATATATATATGTGTGTTATGATGTGTTATGTGTTTAAACTCTATAATATAGTAACTAGCAACAATTGCGTACTGCCTAAACCCATAAAGGGTATGTCAAGCAATATATGACTCACTTGCAACCTTTGAAACACTTTGGAGGGGTCATCTACTTCTTGCTGTGGGGAACCACTGTGCATTGAGCTCACCGTGTTTTTCCCAAGACACGCCGAACATCGGAGAAGATTTCCTGCCAAGCGCTGTGTCCGAGCAAAGCATAGCATCACAAAACATAGCGACATAGCATCTCAAAATGATTAAGCTCTAGCGCTCGCGCGGACGCTCCAAGAGCTCTAGCTGACCAAGAGCTCCGTTGGTTCGCACCGTTGGTTCCAACCGTTTCGGCACCAATGGAGTAGTAGTGGTGTTAATAGTAGTGGCCTTCAAGGTCCATGCAGCACAGGCCGCAAATGGGTGGTGTCTTTTCATCAAACGTGGGTCAAAACATGGTCAAGGCATCGAAGAAATAAAGGGTGCCACACACACAACAGGAAAGGGTGTCATCATGTGCCACCCGCGGCCACTACATGCCACAACGCTGAACATCTGGCATCTGATGAACCACGGCTTTCTGCTATGACTAGCAGCTCTTTATGGGGTACAGGAAAATGTTGGAGTTGACCAAATGATATGAGGATGTCTTAGCAGAAACCCTGAAAGTCCGTGTGGGGCCAGATTGGGTGGAGGTAAGCCTCGCTCGCTTTTCGTCAGCCCGCAGAGCAACCCACCGCATCGACGAACTAAGTGGAAACCGCCCAACCAGCTCCTCAGATGCTATGCCAGCATCTGTCCTTGGCGATGGGCGATGTTCGCTCTTCGATTGGGGAGAGCTTGGTTTGTCACACCCCACTTTCCCCGTGCTGGAAAGAAAGCGATCCAAGTCTAAGCAAAAAAAACGCCCAACCAAAGAGATGTCATCCTGACATCCTGAAACATCCTGATCATACTAGTGGCTGTAAAACACTTGCTCAACTCACGCTGGGCATGGTTTCTTCAAAAGATCATCAGCCCAAATGCACATGTTTGCTAATCAAATCAACATACGGCAATCGCGGCAATATATAGCCTCAAGGAATTCTGAAAAATAACACACGTGCTAGTTAATCTCAGGTGGACCCTATCCCAGTTTCTGGAACTGTTTGCAGGGTGAAATCCTGCATTCTATTTGGGCGCAGGGAAGCGTCCTCTTGGTTGAACCCACCTGTTGGGAAGCGAATCACTTGCACCAAGGAGGTGGACACCGGGTCTATCCGAGTCTACCTGGTCCCAGTGGATGATGTATATTAGGTTGCAGACCTTGTTCAAAAATGATGATACTTGTTTACTGACTGTTACAGGTAATAGGACAAACCTATATAATACTATACAATTCGACCTCAAATGCTCTAGATGAAAAACGTTGAGTTAATATGAGTTAATCAAGGTGTCATGTCTAGAGCAGCTGCAGCATTCGCAGCATAAACTGGAGCAAGGTACGGCTTGTTCTTTTTCAACTCTTCCATGGACTCTCGCAGCTCTGTGAGTGTCACCTGTGAAAGCAGCCAATCAGAACGAGCAACAAAGCAGCCCATGAAACAAGGCCTAAGGCTCATACAGTGTCCAACTGTTTTGGGCATTAGCTCAGGAAATCAAGCAGCGACCCAGGCCAACTGGTATCACAAAAACAAAAACGCAGCACAGAAAAAGCACCTTTGGCTCCATACAAATTGCCAGGCCAATCTCTTATCATTTCTTTTCGGACGTGTTCAGTGGCTTGGAATGGTCGGAAGCCGTGTTGTGACGGAGAGCACCTCGCCATCGCCATCCTTGTCCAGGTAGACGAACCTGCTTGTGCGGTGTTCCGTGTGACACATCATGTGTGTCTCATAATCTAGGACATCATGATGAACTTGGCGATACACCCCAAGTGTGTGTGTGTGTGTACACATCTCTATTGTTTATATGGACAGTCTGGCAGTCTTGTGAGAATGAAATGTGACGTAGCTACTGGAGATCCCTCTGGCAGGATGATTCCGAACACGGATATGACATGACACTGAAACTAGAACATTGGATCATCTTTGGTCGCTGTACGTACAATTGAATGCACCATAGGGCTGATGCCCTTATGTCTTCAGTTGAAAGTTGTCGTCTGATGCCTAATCTTCAATCTTCCGAGTCCCCTGCTACCAAAAAGTTCAGCAACACAAACACATAACCAAGCAACAAGTCGTGTTTGAAGGGTTGCACAAATGTTGGTAGTGCCTTTAGAGGTACTAATACTAACAGTGCTAACATCATCACCGTCTGTCACTCTGACTTTTCACAATGCAACTTGATAACCAACACATCTTGCACTTGGTAAAATGAAGCGTGCTGCTATATATATATATATATATGTATGGGAAACTGTTATCTTTTCGTTGCTATGGCATGGCCCCCTTCTCTGTCAGATAGTTGGAAGTGAATAATTAGAACCATTGCGTGTCCGTTTTTTTGTGAAGGCTGCAAAACACCTGGGGGCATTCTTTTCCACAAATGGCAAAAGGCCCTTCTCTGCTACCCTTCACCTCTCATCTGGGCATCTCTGGGCATCCGGCAGATCCCGCCCAGGGCGGATGACCTTCTCAGGCAACATGCTGGCAATCACGGCCAGAGAGACCTGCAGAGAACGGTCCAGGATCTTCCAACGTTTTACATGCGGAAAGACCCGTAGGGACGGCGAAAGACATCCGAACGACCTCGGAGGGATGCTGAAGTGGATGTAAATACCCACGCCTCATGTGTTGGCCGAAGAACAAATGCTTGAAACCTTGATTGCTACCGGCTATCTGCCTGCCAAATTCACCCATGCTCATCTTCACTGGGGTTGAGTGGTCACTCAAACGTTTTTAGGTGCAAGCAGTGTCAGAACTTTCACTCTTGGTCACATCAAGACCCCCAGCTGTTGAGCAACAAACACCACACCCCCCAAACACCACCGTGTATGGACGACCAAACGCCCCAAGAGCCTCAGTTGATACAAATAACGTCATAGACACATTGAACCTTAACCGGTAGCCCACCACAATTTCGCTCCTGAAGTAGCCAAGGGTAATCCACTCATTCTAGATCACCACCTGGAAAGTAACATTCATTCATTTAGGCTAAAAGAATCCTACTTTCGGCAAAAACAACTATTTTTCGATAGTTCTTGTACCCTGTGCCAGCTTCTTTGACCACCTCTTCCTGAGTTGACAACCCCAAAATAAAGAGCTGGGGAGTGTGGACGTACATTTTTTCTTAGCACTGTTCCTGCTCTGAAGTTGGCAGGCTGCTGTGCAAAAAAACATCCACAGGAGGCTCAGTAAGAAAGTAACATCTAAATCACATGCATGCTTACAGCATGATTGCGACCTATACTTCAATATCAATGAACATGTATCTCAGGAAAACACGTTTTGGATACGCAATCAAAAACCATCAGAATCTAAAGCTGCAGTCAAAAAACATTGCCCCTCATGGCTTTCACAGAAGGTTTCTTCGTGTCTTGACGTTCTGGTTGGAGCGGCCATGTTTTGCTTTTGGCTTTGCTGGGTTTGCGGGTGGGATGCAAATACAGTAGTCGTTGCTGTCACCATTCTCCATGGCGTGGCTACGGCGTTTTGCGGCTTGCGAGGGTAAGCAAGCAAAACTTGTGCCGATTGGGTTGCATCTCGTTGAGAATGGGCGCAAAATTGCGAAGCCATGCAAAGACTTGCGCGGTCACTTTGCGCTTGTTGGATGGAGGAAGCAAGGTGCTGAGACAAAAGGCTTCGTAGAGCTCAAGATGTGGGTCACTGAATTCATCAATGACAATGGCCGGATGCAAATTCGCAGATTCAATGCAATCAACTCACGGATGGCCATGTACAACAAAGCAGAAACGTGCAGCTTGTGAAGTCCTGCACAATGTGTCCAGCTGCATCTGCATGAACGGTGTGGAAAGCATGAGACACTGCAGCACTGGCCAAGTGCCCACGGAAGAGAAGCATTTTCGTGGTACTGGATGTACTTCACAGCAAAGGCCTTCTTGCTGTTCACAAGCAGGATGCCATCGTGCAAGTCGTTAAGGTCGATATTCTCCCACCTATAGTTGTAGGATGTTGTAGGCGTACGATGCCCTGCAGCTCCTCTGGTTACATGGTTTTTTGCCCATGAACGACATTGAAGGGCCCATCCAATGGGTAGAGCACTGCAGCAACATCGGTGCGGAAGCAGCTTGCCATCACAGCCGGCACAGACACAAGTGTCAGGTGAGGTGGTATTTCTGACGCACGGAACCTCCCACAGCAACCACACAAGCAGGCGGCCCAGGACTGCTTTTGCAAGTAGTAGAAGGTGAACTACATGTCCATATATGTCCATTGCTGTGCCAGTCACTGCAAAGGTAACACCAGCATCTTTCTTCAGAATCAAGCCTTCTCGGTGCTGCAATGCAAAGAAGTGCGCCATCTCCTTGTCATGAACAATGCTTCCGACCGTGCTTTTGGCAAAGTTGTACTCCATAGCGAAGCAGAAGGCTGCTGCTGTAGGAGACAGAGAAAGGGCCATCTCGATCACAAACCAAAGGAAGACCAAGGCTTTGCAAGGCTAGGTCAAGCAGACGTCTTGGAAGCCATCCTTCGAACCAGGACCACCGAGATCCTTGTCAGGGGCAACACCAGCAGCGGGCATCATATCTTCATCACTGAAGGACGGCAGTCTGCCTGGATTGGGAACTGACTGGACTCAGCCTCTGTCGCTTGTGTTGTGGAGGAGACGGTGTACCAAACCAACGGGAGAGGTAGTTGCGGAGACCAGGTGGTCGAACTTCAAGGAAGGTTCCCGCTTGACCTGAGCCGGGGAAGACCAACCAGCAGTTGCACGATCTCGGTCCACATCGACATCTCCATGTGTCTCCTGCGCCAACCAATCATGCGCAGTGGGGTACTCAGCAGGTTCTAGGTTGGGCACAGCAGGTAGAGGACCTGAAGCCGAAGGACACCCAGACGCAAAACAAGAGAAGCTGTTGCAAAGGAAGTATATGCGGAGGCAAAGCACCATCAGCACGCAACAAGGCATCCAAGCAAGGTGTGGTAGAGGTAGCAGCAGGAGCAGGAGTTGGAGTGGAGTGCGCAGGATGGTCATATTTGCGGAACACCTCTTTGAGCCACTCAACCTCCCATGCAACTGAGGCTGCGTAATTCTCTGGCTGTGGCGCATCATTTTTTCCAATCTAAGCACTCTAGCATCCACTAGAAGCCACGACGGGCCTGCTGCTTGTTGAGAGATGCCCAAGCAATTTCCTTAGCCTGCCCACGCGCAAGCCTCTATAGATACATGGGAGGGCTAGTGCTTGATGACACAAAGCTTGCCGTAATTCTGCAAGAGGAGAAAGAACTGAGACCAGAAGGAGAAGGAAGGTTAGAACCTTGGAAAGTTCTTGCCAAGCCTTGTTTCGGATAATGGCCTTCAAACTGTCGATGTCAATGGCCGAAGGCTCGACATCCCACACCAAGTCGACCAAGTGCTTGTTTGAAAGCCTTGAAAGCAAAGAGACCAGAAGGAAAGGAACACTAACTGAAAAAACATTGAACATCTACGTTTTTGGTTGCGTGTTGCAGACCAGCTCTTTCAAGGGACCGACGTGCAGATGGCCGCTCGAAGCTCAGCGTTAGATGGCCTGGAAGCCCCGGATGGCGTAAGCCTTCCACGTCCATGTCAAGAGACAAGTCTCAGGGAGGTAGTGGCAGTGCAAGCTATGCAGGAAAAACAAGGCTGTGAGCCCAGTCAGACAGAAGAAGTAACGACAAAAAATACATCTCAATGGATGTTGGTGCAGCAAAGACTATTGGGTTAATGGTTTTGAATGTGTGTTTTCCTTTTTGCTCCATGGCATAAGCGGCATAAGTACTCAAAAACATTAACACATATTCTATGGTGTTTAAAAAACTAATTATTAATTGGAGATTGATATATTATGATGATTGTGATTGAGTGCAGTGGAGAAAATAAAACAAAATAAGAACGATGTGTAATACCGTGGTCCCCTGTTCTGAAAACAGTGCAGAAGCAGTGTCTCAGCCGGCGCCACGGACCGACCCTCATCTCAGCCCACGAGTGAAAGCAACGTCCGCGCCTTCCGGAACTTGTTGAGCTTCCGGAAGCCGCGCAGTGAATGCAAAATCTCCTGGGTGGCGATCTGACGGGAGGGGTGAGATCTCCCGTGGCCGGTTTGCCAGGATGGTATGGGCCATCCACAAAAGAGTTGCCAAGATGGTATGGCCAGGTGGGAGGCGGACGTCGTGTGTTTTCTTCCATGGAGGATTTATCCTACGTCCTACGTCACAATGACCTCTTCGGGATGAGGTTCTATTATTTCAACAAATCTGGGGCTTTGCGGCTTCTTGTGGTGTGTTAATTGACAAGACCAACACAACAGCTCAAGGATAACCATTCCCAAACAGCTGAAGCAAAGCATTCAACATTCACTCAACCCGGTAAGGCACCGGGACGGAAAGCTTGCCCAACATACCCAGCAAAACTCCCTCGCTCCTGGTCCACTGCAGCCAACCTCCTGCGAGGCACCTGCTTGCTGAACCACTTGTGCTTCAGAGCCTGCCGCTGCTGTTGAAGCCATATCCACCAGGGTCTGTTCTCCACATTTCGCAGGCGAGTACGGCAGGAAAGTGCAGTGACCTCCGTATTCCCTATTCAAATGCAACAGGGAAACCAAATGCAACAAGCGACCCTAAAGGATCCACAACAGTGGGAAGCTTCCTACAGTCGCTCATCTGTGAGGTTGCAATGATGCCACATGACCATGCCGTCCAAGTCGTAGTCGTCAGTTTTTTCTCCGGTGGATAGAACATCCAACAATCCAATGCCTTGTTGCTGACCAGCACTTCTTGGCTTCTTGGCTTCATGAATCGCATATAATCGCATGCTATTCGATTGTAATTGGACAACTCAACTCCATATATCGACTCTATGTCTCATACCGACTCATGCCATCTATCTGACACGTATTAGTCTCTCTGCTTTCGAGGCAGCTCAACCACCCAGAACAAGCCAACGCAACGGGGCGCCGCTTCACCTGACCCTTCAGGAACGACCCAACAAGCTGTCGGTAGCCTGGGCAGCTTCCATGCGATTCGCTTCGTTGTTCATCAACATCTGCTTGGCCAAGTTCATGGCTTCACCTCAAACGGCCATTCGCAGGATCCTAAGCCTGCTGTGCTGCTTGATCCTCGGACTCTGGAAGACGTGAAGTACATCATCATTGCACCGAACAGAACTAGAGTGTCAGCATCACCCAGGTCACCCACTCACCCTCGAGAAACCTGCAACACCGTCTTGCAAGTGGCATGAGCCTTACATGCTTTTGTTGTGGGAGGTTATAGACCTGGAACCTGGAACACTCGGGGCCAGGGGGTTGAAGCATCTTTCTCCTGGATCAAAGCTCTTGGTGAGGAAGGAAGAAGCAAGGAAGAAACGAAGACTCACTACACGTGGCTATGCCGCGCTATGCGGCTATGCCTGCCTACTTCTAGAAATTTTCTCCGAACGCCGAACGCAAGTTGCATGCTGCCGCCGAACAAACAAAACCGCAAAGGATCAAGGAATAAAACACCTGAGCAAAGCCAGAGACCAAACGATTTGCAGTAATGACATGTAGGCTGACTCCCAAAAACACACATGGGAGTGGAAGAGACGGAAGTGGAAGGCAGGACCGGTCTTCCAGGGGCCTACGTTCCACCTACCTGTTTCTTGGAGGTAGTTACAATACTTCGGTGCTTACAATGCCTTTCTTCTTCGCCTTCGAAGATCGACTGCGGATTCAACTGAGAATGAGGCCAGATCTTGACATCCATTCCTGCCGCACGGTGCCCCGGTCGACGTCTGTTCATGTTTTCTGCCCCGGTGTTTGGGTGCCCGATGTTCGTGTGTCCTTGATGTTTGTGAAGAAAATAGAACATATAAACAAATGACCTGGTCATCTCAGATCCAAAGGGAATGATCAGCATGTAAGCTGTTTGATAGGACTCCACAACTCTTCAGGGATCTCACTCCAAAAAAAAACGGACTAGAGGTCAGCTCTGGACGGTCTCCGGCCCGGACCTCGTGTTCTCTGAGCCGACCTCGTGCTTTGGATCGCTTCTTTCCGTCATGCTTCGCTCGTTCGTCGATCGACCAGACAGTCTCCGACTCGAGCCGCGAGCGTCGCGAGCGTCGCGGTCCTGACACCACGTGACTTTGGCGGCCATGATCTTCCTTGTGTGCCATCGCTACACGCGAACGCTGAGCGATCGGACGCGAACAAGAAGTTCGGGGCTCCTGGCCGCTCCTAACGAACGGAACAAGAAGTTAGTAACAAGAAGCTACTAGGACCAGTGCAGGGGGCACCTCCCTTCGAAAGAAACCTCTCCGGAGACCGGAGCCTCACTGGTGAAGACCCAAGGCAAGCCATAGCTGTCTTTATGTCTACATTGTTAAGTGATGCTAGACCTACTTCTTCAACCAGTCAAGAGTGTAACGAACGACTACACATAGAGTCTGATGAGTCTCACAAAGGGTCGAGTTGGTTCATTCACCGTTCGAGTCTCTGCCACACGTCCAACATCAAAAAAGGTATTCGCCTCATCCAAGCTTTAGCACCAGAGTAGTGGACTATGGTGGACTCATTTTTCATGCACGATCATCACCAGGTTGGAAGCTGTCGAGCTTCCCAAGAAGCTGCGGAGTTTTGCAGTTTTGCACCTTTAGTTGGGATCTTTGTGCCTTGCATCGCCCCTGCAGCTCATGGGACGGACCAAGTGCAGGGTCAACAGGTCCCCAAATTCGACTCATCCGGACTCCGGACACAGCTCCAGGACGATGGTCTTGCTGCCTTGCCCATTAAACCCAAAGCATCCCTTTCTTGTTCAAGCTGGCACACCACTCACAAACGACCGACCCGGCTCCATGTGACAGGCATCCACCTTAGAAGGCCCTTCCACTTCAAAAGGAGTGGTTTGCTTCGTCCCATCCAGTGGAGATGAGACAGTGGGCACCTCTCCCCTCCAAGAAGCACCCTCACCAGTGGAACACCCCCTCGCCGCGCCCAGCGCCCGATGCTCTCGGAGCTTCTTGTGAAGCTCCTCTGCGTCTCTGCCTTCGAAGGGCAATCGACAGCTCCTCGGCGATGCGGCGGAGAGCTCCGCATCAGAACAACCAGTGGTGGATAGCTCGGATGGGCCTTCCATGGGCCTTCGGTGGGTAGAAGTTGAAATGGACTAGAAACAGGATGACAAACAAACATTAACATGTCGTATAGTTCGAGAGGCTTTCTTTATTGTGCAGTTTGCATGATTGATAAACAGTGTCTTATGCTGTCATTGATCCTGCTGTAAAGCATTGAGCACATGAACGCACTTGAAACACATGACCTGGTGTTTGTCTATAAAACCCTGTAAACCATCTATCAGCTGCAGGATGGTTTCTGTACAAATACTAGGGCATGACTAGGCCGGGGAAGAACTGCTAGCTTTCCGGTGCGCCGCCATCCTGGCCATCCAAACGGCACGTCTGGCGACTTCGGCGAGTGACTGTCAAGTATGGTGTTGGGGCTACAGGTTCTGCCCCATCCCACAATGGGTGAGCTATGAGTTTTTCGAACACAACTCAGTTGACCACCCCAATGGGGTGATGTGATATTTCAAAAAGAGAACAAAAGCTTCACCGAGTTCACACGTCGTCAGGTTATGTCAGGTCTCTGGAGCGTCAAGACGCTCGCGACCTTCCCGAGCTAGGGTTCATCGGAACTGGCGTGCCATCGGAAACCGAACCTGACCACCACCCTGGCTTCACCGAGTTCTGCATGCGAATGCATTCGCTCCTGCCTCCTGCCTCGGAGGCATTCTGAGACGGGTCGCGATCTCAGACGTACGATAGCGATCGCCAAGGCACAGCAAAAAGTACATGATCACGCCACACGCCCACACGTCGCACTTGTAGTTGTACGCGTGAGCATACACCTGACAGGGTCACACGCTTGCAGCCGGAGTCCCACCAAGGTACACCATACGTATGGGATCAGTGATTATAACTACAATTACTAATATACCCTGTTTGGAGCAGTGGGTGGTGAACCATATATGAAATATTGTGAAACTATCCCATGAAAAGAAACCGTACATGTTGGACCTGTCCAGCCTCCAAAACATGCTGTAGAATGCTGTAGATCGGCTGAAATCGGTCTCGGGTCCATTCTGGAACCATGTGAGGTTTTGTCGAATTCGGGGACAACGATAAAAACTTTTTATCAAAAACCAATGATTTCAGTCAGTGATTGGGAATTCTGAGTCGTTGATGCTGAAACCAAAATAGTTTGACTGCCACATCAGGTGCCTGCTCAACCATCAAAAACCCAAAGCTGCCGATGTATTCAATCCAGTCAGCCCTGGACACTGGACGGCTGATCAAATCGGTGAAGCAACCCCCCCTTACAGTGACGCAGCCCTGCTGCTGACCGACTAGAAACCAGCATCCCCCAGCATTTTGCGCCAATGAGTTGCTAGATTTGGAACGGCTTTCCTAGTAGTTCCAAAAATCGGGCCGGGTGTTGCTTGTAGCCCAAAATGGGGGACATCCTCTCGCTGTTGCATTCCCCAATGGCCGGGATATATTGGAACTCACTTTTGGAGGTTTTTCCTCACGTCCCATTCTTCCCAATCCCTTTTGCATCCTTTTGCCCTGCCTGCGGTGCCTTGTGGCTGTCAGTGCCACAGTTCCGTTTCAATACTTGTCCGTCCTGCCCGAACGGTTGGGGAACCTCGTTCCATTTCGGGGCGGTCCACGGTCCTTCCTGGGCCATCGAACTCCATGAGTCACAAAGTGGATCGGGGGGTGCTTCGGTTGGTTCCCATCCGAGTGGATGTGATAGGGGCACCACCCCGACTTTCTCCACAACTATCGGCACCCCGTCTTGTGACTCCTGGAAAAAGAACAACTTTTTCCTGCCCAGACGCGACCCCGGAAAACCAGCCCGACAGGTCCCTGAAAACCTGGCGGATTGGTTCGAAACCCCAGACCCGACCCCTTCGGGTGTCCGACCCCTTCGGGTGCCAGCGTCTGGGTGAGTCGCTTTCAATCGTTTCCGGTTCGAGCCCCCGGGTCCGGAGGACACGTCGCTAGGTCTGTGAAGACTACAAAGGCCCTCGGATGATCGCTTCCCATGTCCTAATCGCACCTATTCCGAACTCCCCATGTATTTCATCTTGTGCAAGTGAATCAAGACAAAGCTAGGATTACGTGGATCCACTTTTACTTATGACTCCTGACATCAAGACCCACAACAAGGTTGTAGGCTGTGGTCCTACCAAGGGGGTGTAGGACAGCTGCAGCACACAAACTCATAACTAGTCAGGGTGCAAAATGTCAATTGGCAAACTGGAACCAGGCAACTTCAACCTGTTGGCTGGATTGGACTGTCCTCATAGGAGCAGGAGAGGCCAAAGTCCGAGATGCGGATTGCACTCCTTGGGTGCATGGCACTGCTGACCGCCATGGCACTGGATGCCACACATCTGAAACAGATAGATGCTACTGCTTTCATCATCTGCCTCGATCCCATTCATCGTCGCATCCGATCCGATTCCTCGACCCTTCTGTCGCACGCCCGACCCCCCCAAAAAGCTCCGGGTCGCGGTCCCGGACTGGTTCGGGAGATGACGAGAGTCGGACGGGAGGATGGTTAACCATGACAAACACATCCAATGGACTGAATGCTCCCGTCTTCGCGCTTAGATTCAGGGGACAAATGCTTATGCACAGCGATCAATGAGAGCACGTGAATGCACACGATGGATTTCAGCCGAGGTCACCCTTCAAGTATAAAGGTCAAGTCTACCCGTTCAGCATGGCCACCCCTGGGCGGTCGCTCTATCCATCTCGATCCAACCGAAGGCGTGGCCGCACTGCGGCAAACTCCACCAAGCTGACCAACTGGAACGTGTCCGGGCTGCGTTTCGCAGCCAGGGCTGGATCGCTACGCGCGGGGGGTCTTGTTGCACCAAGACTCTCAAACTTGGAATGTGCATGTTTGGTGCCCTTCTTGGCTGGCGGCCGCAGCACCAAGAGCCTGCGAGCTCCAAAAAGAAAACAAGAGCTGCGACGATCGGTGTGAAGCCTTGGGTCTGGATTGGCACAGATTTGCACATGAACCATGTCATAACTTCACATGTCTATAAATATCTATCTGTCTGACTGGTTTAGCAACCTTTCAGCTCCTCTTCATCGCCTGAGGGACTCGGTTGTCGCAGCAAAAAGCTGGCTGGAATCTCATGACCGAGGCCCTATAGTTCAATCTCGGGGCAACCCGTCCTAGTTTGACCATGCTGGGTAAAAGCATGTATTGCATACGCCATCATAAGCCACCATTTACTGTTGGTGTTCACCAAAGATGCTTATAGAGACCATGACATAGGCTACACATGGGCTAATTTAATAGCTAAATATAGCTAAATGGATTCTATAGCCGCTGCAGACTCTGCAATCGGTGAAGGGATCTATGATGAGCCTTATGGTAAGGTCCTGGAGGGCAAAAATGGGGATGTGCAGGTCACTCTGATACCCTATCTAAGGTACACTTGGAACGACCGAACTCGCTTGATGCAGCTGTCAAAGAATTGACCCAGCTGTCAGGTTCCAGGCTTTGTCAGTGTCGCACCCCAGGCCGGAACAGAATGTGTGGTGATGTTTCTTTCTTCTGCGTGAATGTGTCTTCAACATGACCGAGCTTGTGAGAGAGAGGGAGAGAGTGCATCAGAATTCCCGGTGACTACACCGGCGGTGTCAGAGCAGGTGGCTCAAAAAGCAGTATTTCGTTGGTCCCGGGTCCCTTTTATTTACGGTATAAGATGTGAAAGTAATCGAACACTCCTATCCAGCAAACACTCGCCTACTACTTGTCCTTGTCACGATCATCTCGCGGCACAAATCTCACTGGGTCGCACATCACATCGGTCGACCCAGTCCAATGCGCCAAGAAACATGTTCTCCGATTTCCTTGGGCGCTCTGCCGATCGCTGACGCGTCGCGTCGCTCAAAGAAAAAGATGGAAGCCACGAACCCGAATGCACACATGTGCTCGAAGCAAAGGGCCAAAGATTGTTTGACACTCTCGTGGGACACTTTTGTAAGAAACTCTTAGATTTGTGGTGTTTGCGTCTTGTGGCACAGCCTCGTGGGACACACTTGTGGGACATGGTCGGACACTCTCCCAAGGAATTCTCTAAAAAACCCACACATGGTCTCGGGCGGCCGACCAACTCTTCAATCAATCTATGCCGTCGTCCAACCTTTTTCCATGAGACACTGGAGTACAGTAACCATCCTTCTTGTTCAGTTCACTCGGTTGCTGAGTGTGATGATTTCTGAATCACGACCGGTTGTTGCATGAAAAAGCCGTGGCGTTTTCCCAATCCTTCCGGCCAGGCCACAAGTCACGATGACAAATCCTCAGGAGTCACGATGATGCGCGATGCTTGGGCTGCTTCAGTATCACTTCAGTGAAAATCCAAAGAGTTCCCAACCAAAGCTGCTTCACTGTGGAGCGTCCCAACAGAAGCGCCCCTGTTTGCGCAAAGACCGAATTGCCTTTAGCCCTTCTGATCCCATCCTTCACTGCTCGAACATCCAAAGAGTTCAGAGATGAACATCACACACATGTACACCTGTGTGCAGGTGTACATGTGTATCTGGTAGACTTTTCATGCAGTACTGCAGTACCGTGGGTTTTCTTCCATTAACACATTGGGCTCTCCAAAAAAAACAACCTTGGGCTGGTGCACGACCCAACATGTGCACGCGTTGGGCTGCCTCAATCTAGAACTCTACGAATCAATGCAAACAACAACAACAACAAAAACAGGTTGTTTTATATACTGTTCCGCTCAAAAAAACAATAGTCATAGTCATAGTATGGTCATGCTGCACAACCTTCTTGGTGCATGACTTGATGGGCTCTTGTGAGTTTCTTCAAACAACTATATATATATATGTCTACTTTATATAACTCAGCGTAACAACTCCTTTGATTTTTGACACTTTTGTCACTTGGACTTAGGGTCATAGGACTTTCTCAGTGGGTTTTCCAAGGTACTTATCTTGCTTGAATTGGTGCCAACTTCAGATGATGGTGGTTCTTCTCTCAAAAGCCCTAAACACAAAGCCGAAGCTCTTGTGGGCGTGCATGTAGGCGACTCCCCGCAAGACTTGTTGCATGACCGTAGCGGCGTCCAATTCACTCAGGCCGCCCTCCTCACAGCTGGTGCTTTCTGACACCGATGGAAAATCCCAAAGCATCAAAGAAAGGGCTTTTAAAGGTGATTGAAGCAAGCATCTTCGCACCCAAAATCCACCAAGGATTTCTTTGTCATCGCTCCGAACGCTCCGAATGACATGGGCGCCCCTTCGATCCTCCGCACATCCATGAACACGAACACAGCTCGACCCGTTAACGACGCCGCTCGGTCCATCACGTGCTCTTCCAAATCGCCGTCTCTGCACAGTTCCTGCGTCAGCCAGTTTAACTGGCGCGATTGTAACAAGTGCATCGCTACTCTATAGTAACAAGGGCATTACTACTAACTACTAGTAAAAAAGGTATTGGTATTCTCCCACCCACCATGACGAGAGATAAAAATGTACTCACCTAGTAGAGGCAGGCAGGCCATTTATTGCTCTATAGCATGGTACTACTAGAATCACTTCTAGCACAAATACTATATACTACTACTACTACTACTACTACTACTACTCCTCCTACTCCTACTCCTGCTGCTGCTGCTGCTGCTGCTGCTGCTGCTGCTGCTGCTCCTGCTCCTGCTCCTGCTACTGCTACTGCTACTGCTACTACTACTACTACTACTACTGCTACTAGTAGCATTCATAGACATACTTTTGCTGGTTCTACCAGCAAGTGCTGGTAGAACCATGCTCAAGCTACAGCTTCTCCTAGCCAAGACTTACTTATATACTTCTCAGCTGCAGTTGATGCTGCCATCTCAGAATAGCTTCCGATCTCGCCACGTCGGCCAACAAGTCACGGGTGACCCGAACGCGCGGCTCGGTCACGGAATCGATGGTTTTACTCAGGGCGTTTCAGGTTTTACGAATTGATTCCTACTCAAAGATCTGAAGTGACATGCAGCCTCATGACTGGACTACTACATACGTTCCGAGCCCTTTTTTTTCCGTCTCACGAACGTCTCTCCCGACTTCACGCCTCTCCCGACCTTTCCCGACCGAAAAGCGAGTCAGAGCGAAACCGCTCGACCGATCGCCGGTTCGTCCGCTCCATGACCATGTAGACACTCTTGTGGTCTTCGAAGACTTCAAAAAGCTTCACAATACCCCTGAGAGGCGGTTTTCGGCGGGTTTGTGACGCGGTGTTGCGCTCCAAAAGCGGTTGGGTTTTTGGGATGCGGCTCCAAAGCGGGGTGTCCTTGCGGCAAAGAGGAGAGATATATGTTAAAAAAATAGAGGGAAGCGTGCAGAAGCGTGACAAGTGCCGTAACTGGCAAACGATTGATGTTGTCCGTACAGCTGGTTTTAGGACGTGAGCTGGCAAGAAAAGCCGTAATGTAATATTAGTAAATAACAATGACATGAACAAGACCAAGTCAAATCATGGGTTTTAAGAATTCACCCACATGATGTCTAGCTGCAGGAAGGATCAGAATGGTGTTTCCCTGTCATCCTTTTTAACGCACTGCAACCAATCATGCACCGCTGACCGCTGGCTCCGCGCTCCAAACATCTCCAAACCCTCCGTTTCCTCGGGCGGTTCGAGCTCGTTGGGGGCCAAGAGTCGGATGATCCAAGAGCTTTGCCACTCGAATCTCTTCCTTTAAAAAGTCCAGCCGCGTGTCTTTGTCGCGGCCTGACACTCCCCGCGGGTAGTTTGGCCACACGCCGAAACCACCGCGGCCGTCCACGGCGTTGAAAGCGGTGTGGAAGACTCACCAGTCCGACGCGCCAGACCGGTGCAGAAAAAAAAAGAACTGCAACGACTGGGTGTCAAGGCTTGCCCCGCCGACACGGCGTTTGTTCTTTTGTCCTTGTTTTTTTTCCGGCAACGATCAGGTCGTTGCACAGAATTAATTACATGAGGCATGAGGAAACCCAAATCCAACCAAACCCATAGGTATTTCAAACGTGCATTTGGGCCAGACGCAACCCTAAACCAATAACCCTCATGCAGTACAAATGATTAGTTACACGGACTGATTCAGTATCAAATAGATACACCGTGAGACCTGCCATCTCATTCTCAAGTGTGTTTCGTGATTAAAAACAGAAGCAGGTCACACCGACTCCAAACCTAGTCTTGGCTTTGGGCTTTGGGCTTTAAAGAAGCTACAGTCTTGCAGCGCTTGGAAGTATAAGTTCAAAGTGTAATCACAGCAGATTTACCTGCAGTCCAACTTGTTGATCCGTCCTTCTAACGAAATTCCAAAGATGGTTTGCGCCTCCTAAGGAATCCGACGACACGTCTTTGTGGTGACCATGTGGTGACGGTCCAAGCCGTGTTGCGAGAGTGTAAACACCGGACGTCAAACATAGAAGTCAGAAGTGAGACGAAGAAGGAAAATCGAGTCTTGGGGAACCCCGTCGCGACCGTTGCGCCGAAAAAAAAAAAAAAACACACACACACGATATACGACGTTCAAGCTGAAAAGTGACTTGATGTCTTATTGGTCATTTTTTTGACAACATGTGTAGTGCTATTCACTCTTTATCGGTGTTTCACTTCCTTTTTCAAGTCTATCCCCTGAACTCCCAGCTACTTGTAGACTATGTCGTCGACAAGTCCATTCTGCTGCCCCAATGAGGCAGCTGATCTGCACACGACAACCCCGAAAAACAGTCCTTAGAATTCTCTTGAATTCTCGCTGCATAAAGGCACCCTAAAGGGAAAGAATCTCAAATAAATCCTCCGAACTCCGCTCAACGTATACTTCTTTTTTGGAATGACCACAGCCAAGCCCCAACAGACTCCTAAGCTCCAGTTTCTTCCTCACGCAAACACCTCTCCACCCAATGCGAAGCTGAAACCATCTGAAAGCAAAACAAGAAGCGAGCCTCTCGCGATCCGTGCCCTGGCCATTGGTCCATCTCGTTCCATCCCCCCCTCTCCACATCAGAACTCTCTCTCCCTCTCCCACACCAGAACCCTTCGCCGCTTCCCAGGCGATCGCCGTGTTGCCCCCGTTTCCCCGACGTGGTAAACTGGTCGCCGGTTCCCAGTCTCCACCGGCCCGGACGCGGCCTGCTTTGGGCAGCGGGATCCGCTTCACCGCGCGGATGGCCTCCGTGGCCTTCACCGAGGCCTTGAAGACGGACCCGAAGGAGCCCTCACCTCGACACAGCGCGCACAGTGGTCAGACCACCCGGTGGGGTATGACCACCCGGTCATTAGCGCGCTTGACTTGGTTGCCCTGATGGTGATCCGATTCTCTTGGCATTTGGGATTTGAAATCCAGAAGTAGAGGATGGAAGACAATCAAAAGTACGAGCAAGAGGCTGTGGAGCCCTGGATCACTAAGAAGAACAACCAGTTTTCAGGATCTTGAGGGTCCGACATTCATCACGTATCTCTGCACCAATCAGGATCGCATGGATGATGGTTCCATTTCATTTAGCTGCTATATATGGCTAAATATGAACTTCCAGTGATTTTCAGCGGGTCCCACCGCCTATCGATCTCCCGACGTCGTAGAAGTCGGTGATCTTCCCAGGGTTGTCGATGTTGATGCCTGGACTGTCACATGAGAATCTCAAAAATGTTGAAAGAAGGATTGATCATGTTTGATCTATCAATGTCTTTCAAGATCAAACATGTTAGGGATGTTGTGTATCTCGGCTGACTTTAGTGATATGTTTGACATTCCATCCATCGACAGTAATAACCGCAAAAACCACGCTGTCGACACTTCGGCAAATACCACAGATAGGTTACCATGTAGGTCAATGCTGCTAGTCATGTCATCTGCAAACATTACCTATGCGTAATTCATCCTTACTAATCACTGGACTGGGATAGACATCCCCCCCCGCACCTAAAGCGGCCGAGGTGATGATCTCCCCAGTCTCATCATCATCACCTCCTTGCAGCGTTGGGACGAACCCGGCATATGGGGGGATCGGGATGAGTGTTTGGACAGGTCAGGACCTCTGCGCGATGTGTTTTTCTTTTTTTCCGAATTAATGTGTTCTTTTTTGAAAGCACCAGTACATAAAGTAAGATCCTGGTTCATAGTTCATATCCGTCGTTTTTGAAACAGTGAAGGCTCTGACTCTACGAGGAAACATGTGTCCCTGTGTCCCATTCGGAAAAAAGAAGGACGAGCAACTGGACACATCTGTATGGATTGCCTTCATCCTCCGGGTCACAAACTCGCACAAACGATATTCTCTGACCACCTCGTCTACATCAACTCACACTCTAAAATCTCCCAACCTCTGTGAGATGGTAGTTTGGTGTCGATGTTTTGAAGAGACCCATTCACTTACTTCGGACTCCCACACACACAGCCACTGGCTCTCACGGGCCTCCCAAGATCACACCGCCCGCCGCCTGGGCCCGTCGGCCCGTCGTCCACGTATAGTCGAAAGGACGTATAGTCGAGATATGTCAACCGTAGAACATTCCAAGAATTAATCGTATTTTTTGTTTTAAGGATGATGGTTAGTTAGTGAGACCTTTACCCCCAAAAAGATGAGAATGCTTTGCGGACTGTAACTGGTAACGTTGACTCAGGATTAAGTAACCTCTCTAATTCAACTGTACAATGAATAGGTTTATGGATGATGGTTAGTAAAGACCTTTAGCCCGAAAACATAACAATGTTTTGCCGACTGTAACTGGTAATGGGGCACACCCAAAAAATGGATACGCCAAACCCATGCGCTACCTGATGATATCATGATTTTCAGAAAACCTAAAAAGGACAAAAAGAACCTGCTTTAAGGGGCTTTGCTGCTACGTTGCGTGCACAAAAGCACCTCGTTTGTATCTTACTGTTCACCATTGTTCATACCTGCACCACCGTGTCCAAAAGAATGTGCGATATTTCAAAGCACAAGAAAAAGTGCAATGTTTGACAAAAAAAGCGATATTTAAAACGAAAAAATGACATTGATCAGGTGTCCCAGGAGAGGTAGACGTGGGCCACAAATTCACTGGGATAAATAATCTTCTCAGGTTTCTGCGGAGGATTGGGCTTCAAACAGCAGCCTGGTCAAGCTGAAGTGTTTGTGACGCTGCAAATGTCCAGTCCGCAAGTGTCTGCCATATGTCCGCAAATGTCCACCATATTCACACAAATGTCCGCCATAGACTGGTTTGTCAACTTTTGCAAGTTGAAGCGCATTCAAAAGTTGCCACTTCATCAAATGATGGAATGCCCAAAGTTGAACTGGAGAGTCTGCTGTGTAGGGCTTATATAATCAATCCTGCACACGTATTGTGTCCTGCTGCACCAGGTGCAGGTCAAGATCCCCAAAGAGCACAAAAAGCGACACTTTTTGGTCATGGCAGCTCCAAACGCAGGTTTTTTGACCTATGGCATTTTTTGCATGCAAAAGTTGCTCCAGGTATTATAGCTAAATATATTATGGTAACCCCCATAAAGATCTACCTTTTCGATGTGGTTGCATAAATGCTTCAAAGCAAGGACTTTGTTTGTCTGAGGGGGTACCATACATATAAAAACATATACGAACCATAAAACAAAATGACACATAAATCTTCTGCCCAACTGACAAGAATACTTAGAGCATTTGGTGACAGAATCCCATTGCAACGGATTGCAATGGGATGCAAGATTCAAGATTGCAGAAAGGAATTATTGAATCCCATCACAGGGTTCAAGACTCAAGATTTCAGAAAAGAGTTCTTGAATCAAATTCCCAGGATTCAAGAACTCTTTCCTGAAATCTTCAATCTTGAATATGCTGAGAGTCAACAATTCTTTTCTGAAGTCCTGTCTTGAAAGAAATCCTGTCAAGGCAGGAACACAAATCATTGACCGGGCATGGGGGTTCGTCTCTGCTTCGTGCCCGTATCCGGTCTGCAATGTTGCAATTGGACTCAGTCACCAATTGCTCTAAGTATCTGCGGCACATGTTTGACGTGACAAAGATGAACACGCATATATATATATATATATGCATGTATCTTCATGTATGTATGTATTACCCCCGCAACACAAAATCAAGCCCACAGCTCCACCCTGTGCAGAAAACATTACAAAAACACCTAACAAGGTAGGTACAGGGGGCCATGTATATATACATATGCAACTGAAGAGATCCAACAGTCCTAGAGCTGTCAAGAACTGCAGCAGTTCCCGAAAGCGGTTAGGGTTTAGGATTCTTGGTCAAATGCCCTATAGCATCCCTATAGCACCCTAAGTAGAGAGACTCCGGGAAACTGTGTCCCCTACATTGTAGCTTCTGAGTGCTGGAAAAGAAGTGGGATCTAAGTTCCATTCCGCAAAACACTGAAAAACACACTCAAAGAAGTGAGAGTGCACTGTACACCTGCTAAACCAGGCACTCTTTGAACAGCCCAGTCTGCTGTTAGGTCGCCTGTCCAGTCCGCGCAAACCACTTGATCTTATGAGTACCACTTCCGGTAATGAAATGGACACTTCAAAGCTCAGCAAAGGTCATCAGAAGTGGCGTCATGTCCCCCCACACTGGTGCTCTTCCGACCTGTAACTCCGTCTCGGGCCCCGGGCTTTTCGTGTCTTCCCCTTTCCGAGATTCCAGCCTCGGAGGAGACGAGACGAGACGCGGTCTGTGGTCCGAAATGCCGCGACTCGGACGCATCGCCTATAGCGAACGGTTCGCGATCGGACGCGAACCGAACAGGGCGCTCCTGGCCGCTCCTACGAACGTAACAAGAAGCTACTAAAGTCTTCAATGTAACTAGTAGCGATGCACTTGTTACGTTCGTAGCGATGCCAGGAGCCCCGAACGTAGCGTCCGATCGCTCCTAGTAGAAAAGCCCTTTCTTCAATGTAACTTACATAATTCTAGCCGCGACCTGGAACCACCCGGACTCACATTTGTGTGTGCCACGTCGATGTCTAGAGTACTGACTTGGCGAGCACAAAAAAAAGCCGCCCGCCTATTGATCTGAAGTTCCAAATTCTTCCACTTCAAATCCCTCCGTACCGTGTACCGAACATCCATGACAATCCGCCGCTTCCCCACCCCACCCCACTCGACTTGAAATAAACTCACCCCATTTTTTTTTCCAAGGCACGTCGGCTGGAGGAAGACTTTGGAGAAGTGTTGGACGGATCAGAGGGATCCGAATCATGTTCTCGGTCCGGTGGCGTCAGCGCCGTCGTGGCGGTCGTGGCGGAGGAGGTCGGGACGACCGGGGGTTGGATCTCATCCGGTTGGGCGAAGAAAGGTGTTTGGTTTCCGGCGGCCACACCCTTGGAAGAGGATGTTACGAACTACTAGAGTGGTGGAACACCACTTCCATGTGAGTGACTGAAAGTGTGGATCATTTTCAAGGTTTCGCACTAGCAACTGTAGGAAGATCCTACATGTGGGGAAGTGTTTGGGGAGAGTTGCACAGGCAGGGCTAACAAGCACATGACTCATGATGGTTCAACTCAAGTTGGATGATACGTTCTTCAATGTTCTTCTATATTGCAGTCACAGTATATGGTCTCACTCAACTCACAGTCACAGGAGCACTTTTTTCCTAAAACTCCGCTTCTCTTGTATCCCCTATCTCCGTTTCTGCAAAGATCTGCTTGCTAAAGGTTGCCTCGGACCATCTTGGACCCTCAAGTGCCTTAAGTTTTCCTAAAACTCTAGGAACCAAATGAATAGTGCGAGCGCTTCTTCAAGGAAGCTGAGCTTCCTTGAAGAAGTGTGAACTATCCTGCATCCTGGGTAGTAGCTACTTGTAGGTAGTAGCTACCCAGCTACTACTAGCTACCTACTCTAGCTACCTACTCTAGCTACCTACCTCTACCCACGCACCTACCCACCCACCCACCCACCTACCTACCTATCGGCCTACCCCCCTTAAAGAGAAAAAGAATGGGTGTCATTCCCTTTCACTCTCCGTGTCGCCTGGATCAATGCACACATCACCTTGGTGGGACCAGCGGGACCCAGCGGCACTTTTCTGCGTCGATGCCGGTGTCGCGGAAAGGGTTCTGTGGAAAGGGTTCTGCTGGGAACCTGTCATGAGCAGCTGCACTAATAGTTGGTGGACTTTCTTTTTTACTCCTTTTTTTCTGCGCAGCTAGGCAGCTCTCCATTTGCATGGACGTTTTCATTCCTATCGCTGGCCTTCTGGGCGTTCTCGGCTCTGAAGGGTTTGTGCTGTCTACTCAAATAGATCAGGCTCCTAGTAGCTTCTTGTGCCTAGTAGCGATGCCAGAAGCCCTTAATAGCGTCCTTGTTCCTAGTAGCGATGCCCTTTGCTCCTAGTAGCTTCTTTGGCTCTCAAAGTGATGGGTCTAAAGAGGTGTCTCTCGTGTTCAGTTTGGGACCTACTGTGGGGAAGACTGGCAGGCTTCTGTGAGACTGGCCGCCCCGTGAGCGGGTCAAAGGAATCTGAAAGCCCAGGGTTTGGGAGTGTTCAAAAGCTCCAATTTAAGAGGCAGTAGACCTAGAGATGGTCCAACATCTCTACTCAGGTGCTTTTGATTCGAAGGGGATTTTCGCCATGAGACTGTAGCTTTTCGATGAGGCGGAGCCATTGTCACTCATTGCCTCT